CCTTCAATTTATAGAAGTAATAGACAACCTAATTCCTAATCCCAAGAAGCAACTTCTTACAGGAATTGCTTTAGCACTGGTCCAAGTGTGGTAGAGTCCATTAGAACTTAGAAGCCAAATTTGGGGCAGTAACCCTTATTGTACTGGTTCTGCAAACAAGAAAGATATAAAATTTATAGATCATAGGTTTTTCCTCTGTGCTTTCAGTTTCACTCATCAGCCAGTATCCTTCTTGTACTGTAATGTCATTCCCACCATTATAGACTATGCTTAAATCACATAAGATACAGAAGAAGCAATTGCTCTTCATGGCAAGCCTACTGGCTTGAGTACTGTTTTAACTTTTCTTTGTCTGTTTTTGATGACAAGAATTGCCTGTGTGGCCGCTGTTGTCCTGAAAGTAGCTCCGTACACCCAGCTAGCATTGAACTCAGAGACCTCCCTTACTCTGGCTTCCAAGTGCTTGGATTAAAGGTGGGCAAAATCGCTGGCTTTTTTGTTTTTATATTATTGGGTGATAGGCTTGGAGTTCTTGTACATGTCAGACAAATACTGTGGCACTGAGCTTCACCTCCTATCCTGAATTTTTAAAGTTGGATGATAGTATCATTTTGCTTCTCAGGATGGCATGTATTCAAGACATTAATATTGCCTGAGACTTCTGTTATCAGATTGCAGGTGCATGACATTATTCTTCCTTGTTGTATTGGTTTTGATTTTTTTTTAAACATATATGAATATTTTACCTGTATGCCTGGATAGGCACCACTTTGTTACCTGGTTCTCACAATCATCAAAAGATGGTCTTAGAAACCCTGAACTAGGAATAATGGATAGTTTTGATCCCCTATATAAATAATGGCAATTGATCCCTCCTATATGCAAGACCAGTACTGAGCCATTTTTCCTGCCCTGTGTTAATGATTTATTATCAACATTTATATTGCTAATGTTTTTATCTGTCTATTTGTAACTGTTTAAACATTCAATGGCTTTTAGTAAGATCTTATTGATGTTACAGATTAACGTGGGACAATTCAGTTTTCTCAAAGATAAATACAGAAGTGGAATGAATGATTAACTCTTTGTAGAAACTTTTGCAAACCACCTTTGAGTTCCTTCACTTTTTTGTTTGTTTGACTGATTTGGGCACAGGAGACAGGGTCCCAATATGTACTGCTGACTGTCCAAGATCTGATTGCACATACTGGGCTAGCATTCAACTCAGAGGTAGATATACCGGCCTCTACCTTCTGAGTGCTAGGGTTAAAGGCGTGAGCCAATACACCCAGCGTGACCATCTTATTCTTTTTGTCCTTAGTAAAATACCTTCTTTTATGTGTAGTCTATACTGATGATCTGTTTATTTGTCTATGTTAAAAGGTATTTCTGTTGCAAGGTCATATCCAATTAAAAGGGTACAGAAATGACAGAGATGATCCTCCTATTCACTTTCATTCTAGATTGACTTGGTGAATAGATTATAATATTTGTGTCATGGAATAAGTGGGTGGAACACCAGAATTATATGACTACACTGTCAAAGAAGTATTCATTTACACTGTTGTCAGTATCATGCTTTCAATTATACACATATATGGGATATTTTAGAATGCGGTGACCTATGATGATGTGCATATCGATTTCACTTGGGAAGAATGGACTTTGCTTGATCCTTCCCAGAAGAATCTCTACAAAGATGTGATGTTGGAGACCTACAGGAACCTTACCACTGTAGGTAAGACTGAATTTTCCTTCATGTAAAATAAGGGGACAATTAATCCTTGACTATCTGTGCTTTTCTGTAAATGGATTGAGAAAGAAGAATGAGGTGAATTAATCAGGTCTGGTTCTAAGGTTCCTTGAAGATAGTAACTTAAATTTTGCACAATTTTCAATAATATAACATACATTTTCTGAAACTAAATTTTAGGATACAGCTGGGAAGACCATCTTATTGAAGAACATTGTAAAAGTTCTAGAAAACATGAAAGGTAATTTTTATTTGCAAACTGATACAAATGTGCCTTTGAGGAAATTGCAATATGTCCTGGAAATTTCAAAGAAAAGCAATAGTGTAAATAAGCACAGCTTAAAATGCATTTATGATTATTAAATTCTCACAACACTATATAACCCAACTGCAGGCTGATTAATTATATTTACAAGGCATTCTTTTAAGAATGAAGACAAGAAAACAGTGCCTTAACAGATATCACCATTAGAATCAAAGCCCCATGAATGCTATGCTTGTAAAACTGCCAATGCATTTCATTTCATACAACTCATATTACAAAAGGTAAGCACAATGAAGAGGTAATAAGTACATGTCAAAAACCTCCTAATAAGCATATAGTCCATAGTGAAGCTAGTGTTACTCATTTACTTGTTGTAACTTTGCTAAATTTAGTGAAAGAGGTACTTAGATTCAAGAGTCAAGGGCCATTGTTGAGAAACCTTAATCTCTATATCACATGCCTATGAGAAACAGAAATTCAAACTAAATTCAATGTGGAAACCTTTTTTTTTTCATTCTCCTTTTACTATGTGTATCATATGTCTCTCTGGATACAAGCCACATGAACATAGGGATATGGAAAGATGTAACATACCTCTCAGAACAATTATAATATTTGTAGATGTCCCCACATTGAATATACTTATATACTTGATTCATGTAATTGGTTTTCCACCTTCACTGTAGTATGTAGTATGACTTATAGTATAAGAAAATTTATGAAAGCAATAAGTGCATTAAAGATCAGTTTTTTCCAGTTTTCTTGAAATATGTGAGAAATCTCCTATAGATAAAGGTCCTGTAAATATGAACCATGTAACAAAGACTTACTATCACAGGTATCTTCAAAGATGCAGAACAACTCCTAATAAAGGGGAACAACATGTGTGTAAAATTAGTGATAAAATTTTAAGACCTGATTCCTTTTTACAACTGGAACAAATTGTAAAAATAATTCATTCAGGTATAAAGATTCAAGAGAGTATCGAATGTAGCAAAGCTTTTACATGTGCCAATTATTCTTGCAGGCATGAAAGAATTCCTACTGGAGAGCAACCTTCTGAATCTACTCAATCTTTTAGAGCCTTTGCTCATCACTGTACTTCTCAAAGGCATAAAACGACACATACTGGAGAGAAACAGTATGAATGTGATCAGTGTGGTAAAGGCTTTGTGTATTACACTAATCTTCAAAGTCACAAAAGAACACATATTGGAGAAAAGTCTTATGAATGCAATCAGTGTGGTAAAGCCTTTGCAGACCAAAGAAGACTCCAAATACATAAAAGAATGGATATTGGAGAGAAGCCCTATGGTTGTAATCAGTGTAATAAAGGATTTTCACAACTTCAAGTGCATATAAGAACACATACTGGAGAGAAACCCTATGAAAGTAATCAGTGTGGTAAAGACTCTTCACAATTTAGTCATCTTCAACTGCAAGAAAGAACACATACTGTTGAGAAAGCCAATGAATGTAATCAGTGTGGTAAAGTCTTTGCACGTCCCAGTGATCTCAAAATGCACAAAAGAACACATACTGGAGAGAAACCTTATCCATGTAATCAGTGTGGTAAAGCCTTTGCACGTCAGAGCAGTCTCCAACTGCACAAAAGAACACATACAGGAGAGAAACCCTATGAATGTAATCAGTGTGGTAAAGCCTTTGCAAATCAAAGAAGACTCCAAATACATAAAAGAATACATACTGGAGAGAAGCCCTATGAATGTAATCAGTGTGGTAAAAGATTTACACAATTCAGTGTTCTTCAGGTGCATAAAAGAACACATACTGGAGAGAAACCCTATGAATGTAATCAGTGTGGTAAAGGCTTTTCACAATTCAGTCATCTTCAACTGCATGAAAGAATACATACTGGAGAGAAACCCTATAAGTGTAATCAGTGTGGTAAAGGTTTTGCACGCCCCAGTGGTCTCCAAATGCACAAAAGAACACATACTGGAGAGAAACCCCATGAATGTAAACATTGTGGTAAAGCCTTCGCTACTCACAGCAGTCTTGGAATGCATAACAAAACCCATACTGGAGAGAAACCTTATGAATGTAATCATTGTGGTAAAGCTTTTTCTCAACACTATATTCTTCAAAGGCATAAAAGAACACATACAGGAGAGAAACCGTATGAATGCAATCAGTGTGATAAAGCCTTTGCACGTCACAGTGGTCTTCAGATGCACAAAAGAATACATACTGGAGAGAAACCCTATGAATGTAATCAATGTAGTAAAGCCTTTGCACGTCAGAGTAGTCTCCAAATGCACAAAAGAACACATACTGGTGAGAAACCCTATGAATGTAATCAGTGTGGTAAGGCCTTCGCAGAACATAGAAGTCTCCAAATACATAAAAGAACACATACTGGAGAGAAACCTTGTGAATGTGATCAGTGTGGTAAAGCCTTTGTATGTCATAATCATCTCCGAATACACAAAAGAACACATACTGGAGAGAAACCCTATGAATGTAATCAGTGTAGTAAGGCTTTTGTAAGTTCTAGTCATCTTCGAGTACACAAAAGAACACATACTGGAGAGAAACCTTATAAATGTACTCAGTGCGGAAATGCCTTTACCCTTCAAAGTCATCTTCAAAGGCATACAAGAACCCATAATAGAGAGAAACCCTATGAATGTAATCAGTGTGGTAAAGTCTTTGCTCATGACAGTTCTCTTCAAAGGCATAAAACAACACATATTTGAGGCAAATCCTGTGAATTTTATTTCTGTTAAAGCCTTTATATATCACAGTGATCTTCAAAGGCATAAAAGAACCGATACCAGAGATAAACCCTATAAATGGGATAAGTGTGGTAAAGGCTTTGCATGTCATAGTAATAGAATATATAAAAAACACAGACTTGAGCAAAACCATATGAAGGTTGTCAGTATAGTAAAGCCTTGGCATGTTTTGGTAGTATTAGAAATCACAAGTAAAAATCATTATAGAGAAACGCTATGAATAAGTCATTATGATAAAGTTTTGCTTTTCATACAGGAGTAAAACTTTTTGTCTGCAATCAATCTGTTAAAGCCTTTGCATATTACAATAGTCTTTGAATAATTGAAATAAATACTGAGGGCTTTTTGTTATAAATCATTTGGTAAGATCTTTAGTCAACACCCTTACCTTCTGTTACACAAGAATTGAGAGTGTTAACAATCTGGCAAGCATTATGATGTCTGTGTTTATATTATTGAACCTGAAAACATGGGAAAATGAATTCATGAAGCCTCATGAATTTCAATGATAACATAACTCTTAGATTTAGATTTAGATTTCATACTTCTCTTCAATTATATTTAATAAGTAGTTCAGTTGTAAAACTTTATGGATTTGTATTAGTGCCTTTTCTGCTTTTGTTATATAATGTCTACATCAACTTATAAAAAGTGTTTAGTTTGGCCCTTTGTTCCAGAGGGATACAGAATCACCATGAATGTGGCTTGGCAACAGGTATTGGACATGGCATCCTAAGTAGGAAGCTAGGAACTTGTGTCATCCACCTGCAGCATGAAGTAGAGATTGGGAAGTGGAAATGGTGTGCAGAAATTCTCAAAGCCTTCCACCAGCAATATATTTCCTCCAGCAGGGCAGCATTCCCGAAATCTCCTCAAATGATAACAGTAGCTGAAAAGGTTTCTTGAATCCTGAATTCTTGTTTTCTGTTAATGAACCAATTCATATAGTCAAAAACCTGTAAGTAACCCTTTAGATGCCTCAACACCTAAGTTAAGGAAATGAATGCTTAAAACAGAAAACTTCTATGATTAAAAAACTGTTTCAATTTCAATTATGTGATGCCAATGTGTGCTTGTGTGTGTATGTGTATGCTGATTCCCAAGAAGATTAGACCTTTGGATCTTCTTGTAGCAGGAATTGTAGGAAGTTGTCCAAAATTGGACCCTGGTCCTGGGATTGAACTTTTCTTAACTCCCTAGCCAGGTCTCTATCTTGGTAAATATTTAAAAGCTTATTTACATAATTTTGATGTCAGGAAATAGGGACAAACCTAAACAAGAGAAAAACCTTGTGTAAATGATTTGATAAAGACTTCAGACATCACAGTTGTCTTCAGCATCGTGGAAAAAAAACCCTTTTTTATTTCTTTTTTGTCATTGTCTTTTTTTTTTTTTTTTTAGAATTTTTTAAACTTTATTTTATGTGCATTGGTGTGAGGGTGTCAGATCTCCTGGAAGTGCAATTACAGACAGTTGTGAACTGCCATGTGTGTGCTGGGAATTGAAGCTGGGTCCTCTGGAAGAGCAACTAGTGGTCTTAACCACTGGGCCATCTCTCCAGCCCCCTCATCATAGTCTTGAAGTAAGTACATTACCATGTTCACTCAAGACTGTCAGCGGAACTCTTCCTGTAAGCGGCCTAAGGTGACCCGTGAAGATGGTTCGCTACTCGCTTGACCCAGAAAACCCTACAAAATCATGCAAAACGAGAGGTTCAAATCTTCAGGTTCACTTTAAGAACACCCGTGAAACTGCCCAGGCCATCAAGGGTATGCATATCTGAAAAGCCACCAAGTATCTGAAAGATGTCACTTTAAAGAAGCAATGTGTGCCTTTCTGGTGGTATAATGGTGGAGTTGGTAGGTGCGCCCAGGCCAAACAGTGGGGCTGGACACAGGGCCGGTGGCCTAAAAAGAGTGCTGAATTTTTGCTGCACATGCTTAAGAATGCAGAGAGTAATGCTGAACTGAAGGGTCTAGATGTTGATTCTCTAGTCATTGAACACATCCAGGTGAACAAAGCACCTAAGATGTGGCGACGGACTTACAGAGCTCATGGCTGGATTAACCCATACATGAGCTCCCCCTGCCACATCAAGATGATCCTCACTGAAAAGGAACAAATTGTTCCAATGCCAGAAGAGGAGGTTGCGCAGAAGAAGATATCCCAGAAGAAACGGGAGAAAAAAAAAAAAAAAACTTATGGCATGGGAATAAATTCCACATAAAATAAATGCAGATAAAAGTAAAAAAAAAAAAAAAAAGAAAGACTGCCAGTGGAGATCATTACCTTGTGATTTTTATTTTGAAACATTTATGGTATTTACTGATGTGTGCTATATGTGTGGCAAATCCATTTAATGATGTTTATTTTGTTGCCCTTATATTCTTTCTGTGGAATTTTTAAACTATTGTGCTTTTACTTAGTAATAGGTATTTTCTGTTGTAATGGATGGAATGGGATGCCCTTCATCTAAGTCGTCCATTGTTTATATAAATATCAGGCAATGTTTGATCATACTTTTCAAGTAAGAGGGTGTGTGTGAAAGGGTAGTGGGTAGTTGTTCCTGCTTTTGTTTCTTTCATATTTTCACCAATTCACTTGAGATTTTCTTTGTTATTCAGCCTGGCTTGGATGTCAGTAATTACTCAGTCCAAGGGTATATACTCCCAATGGGTGCTATTTTGTAAACACTATATAATAGTGTTAATGTTAAAATGAGACTGTAAGAAACATTAAATACCTCATGTGTTTTCAAAGCAGTATTTTTTATCTGGTAGAGATGTAATAAAGTAGAATAATCAATCAAATGTGTATTGAATACCATAGATTTTTGTGCTATGCAGATATATACATTTATGCACATGTATATATATGTTTATAATGTATATTTCATTCTTATTCTTGTCCCTATTAGTTTACCATTTGGCATTTCAACTTGAAGCATTGCCTTTGCCTTCTAAGGAATTTCTTGAGAGATGCCAGATAATATAATAGCAATAAAATATATGTTTTTAACAAACATTAATAGTATGTGTTTAATGTGATTATGGCTTTGTGAGCCATGGCAGAATATCATTGGGAGGGCTCCTGGTCACTAAAGCAGTCACCCCAAGTTTATTCTTCATGGGATTTTTATCCATCAGCAAAGAGAGAAGCAAAAGACCTCCCTTTTTCAAAGACACAATGGTTCAAAGTACAAACAAGTGTAAACACCTCCTTAATTCTCAAAATATCTAGTATCCACTCCTTATGGAAAAACATACTATAATTAGGCCTAGAAGTATAATATACCTGGTAACCATGCCATTGGCCAAAACATCCTATTATTCAGCCATACGGGGCAAAACAAGCATAGCATGTCTGACCTTGAGCCAAAATTAAATAAGGTCACACTGTGGAGGCTTTGTTGGCCCTTAGATCATTTCTGCTTCTAAGCCCTCAGATATTCCCATCACTGTTTTCCAATTAATGGCCTCTTTTTACTTTAACAGCAGTTACTGTTTGAATGTGACCTATATTTAGCTGAAGATCTTCCTAACTAGGAAGCAAAGGGTTGGCTTCACTAGTCACTGACTATGTAATGGAATTATGGATACAAAGGACACTGTATTTTGGAATGGAAATTGAATTGCTCTGACAAACTGGAAGACTTTCTACAAAATAGAAATTTAATCACCTAGAATGGAAGGGCCAAGCTGGGAAAGCTTATACTGACTCAATCATTAGATTTCTGCTCATCTAGTAGAGAAGCTGCTATTGTCCTGAGACCCAGCAGGGTGATACTAGCTATTGAGGGACTATGGGCAAGCTTAGCAATAAAGAGGACCAGTGGGAGGTATATTTGTGTTTTTGTTTGTTTGTTTGTTTTTCTAGAGTTCTTCTCTGGTGTTGCTTTAGGGAGCCATGAGGGTCACCATAAACCATGATATGGTGACTGGGGAGTACATGGCATTCTGGGCAGGATAAGCATGTTTGCTGCCCTGTCAGATATCCTGGAGTTAAAGGCCCATGAGACAGTCTAGTTTTGTTGGTCCTTGTGTTGACTTGGCAAGTGGTCCTTGAACTTGAAGCCTTCCTGTGTGTGCATTCCCTAGGGACAGGGAGGCTATGCAAACCTGTCCATAAAAGATATGTTGTTTAAAGTATCACTCTCCTGTGTGTACACATTAGGCATTGCCTTTGGTGTGCAGCAGGAAGACAGATTGAAAAACTGAAGGTCTTGTGTGTAGAAATTCTCAACATTGCATTCCACGTTCAGTTTTACATTATAAGCTTTACAAATAGGTTAGAAACTGGTAGAAAGAAGGTAATGGGGGTCATCATTCAGAAATATTTGTTTAGAATACTTTAACTTTCCTCTATCACCAGCCACAATGGCATGATTCGGGGAAATTAAATTCCAGGGGACAAATGGAATTTCTGAGCTGTGAAGGTATCTTTGGTGTTTATGGGGTTGGGCAGGTGGATAGGCCAGATTCCACATTTTGTGCATTGATATATATGTCAGGAAGCACACATTATTCATCAAATTTGTTTTGTTGTTTTGACATCAGTTAGTTTAGTTTTTGCCTAAAACCACAATGGGGAATAAAGGGATGCATGGTTATAGCCAACCTTTTTGATCCACTTCAATTTCCAGAGAGAGTTCAACCTCTCTATTTGGAAGAGGAATCAGTAGTAGCTGGAAGATAAAAAAAATATAGCAGTTTAGGCATCACTTTAAGTTACTATTGTGGGAGTTGTGAAGTATATGTTTATTTAGTTTCTATACACATAAAATCATAAGTATTGATCAAGTTCCTTTTTTTTTTGTAAATTTTTCTTGGTTTAGTTTCCTTAAGTCTTTTGATGAAAGCTTGACTATATTTTTGTGCTTTTGGTTTTGGCTTTTTCTCTCTATCTCCTTATTCTCTCACACATTCTTGATTCTTGTAGATTTGTGTTAGGTATAAAAGTCACATGTCAACATGTGTACCATTTTTTTTTCTTAATCCTATTGAGAATTCTGAGTTTATCCACATGGAACATAGCTTTGGAATTGGCTTTCTTGTTATGAGTTATTGGGAATTTCTGTGTATTGTATAAACTTTATGTTCTAAATTGAACATACCCAACATCTTTTTGTTGTTGTTGACAATATAATAGTGTTCTTTGCAAAATTATAAAATGGCAAAGATATTATTCTATATAATCATTTTTTTAGCAAACTACAGTAACTGACAATGAAACTGTTTTGAAACAATGAACAAATAGACATAGAAAGTGGGCTACAGTAGTTTCATGACACAGAATGCATTGTTATGTTATAAAAGATATCCTACTAAGTATAACTTAATTGAGATAGCAAAAAGAATGAAAGTGAAACATGCTCCAGAATTTATCAACGAATATGAGTATGACATGTGATTATATAGTAGCATGCAAAGTAAATTTTGATAATAGTAGTTTGGAATTTTCTACAGATATCAACTAAAATTAGCTAAAATCATGTTTCTTTGTAATAGTTGATATAAAATCACACATATTTAGTGTATGTATTCTGATGCATTTGGACACATTACTGACACCCAGGCAGCCCAGTTACTAAAACAAAACAGAAAACCATGTTCTTCAGGCATTCTTTTTTCATGTGGTGATGTGTGTTTACAGTATACAGAGTTCTCATAAAATGACAGAATTGCTATGGATCCCAGCATTCTTCTCAATATATTTTCTATACAATTAAAATTAATATTAACAAGTATCAGAATTTTTATGCTCAAAGCTATTTTATCGATGGCAGTCAAAATATAAAAATAACCTAATTTTTTTTTTTGGGGGGGGGTTTCGAGACAGGGTTTCTCTGTGTAGCTTTGTGCCTTTCCTGGATCTTGCTCTGTAGAACAGGCTGGCCTCCAACTCACAGAGATCCGCCTGCTTCTGCTTCCCAAGTGCTGGGATTAAAGGCGTGTGCCACCACCGCCTGGCTGAAAATAATCTGAAGTTTCATTTGTTGATGATAAGCTTGGGGCTTCAAGAAGACAAAGTGCTAAATAAATAAAGACAATAGCAATGGCTAAAGGATTGTACACTTATAAAGGACTCGCAATCAGTGCTTTATTGGTCATGAAACTGCATATAATAACAACTTGTGCTATGTTACCTCACTTCTTAGTCCCACCTGATTTTCTGATTTTCATCTTTAATGCACTCTCAGTTGTCAAGGTGATGTGAGCTCCAGACATCTTGTCTATACTACAGGTGGCAAATGGAAATTAAGGGCAGCAAGAAGACAGAATCTTGAAAGCAATCTTCTTCAGAGGGTTTTCCCAACATTTATTTAGTTAGGTGAAGAACTATTAAACATCAAGCTTTTTGTAGCAAGAGTTGTTATAGAGATGAGATGCAATTGAACTATTTTAGAAATTTGTAAAAATGCAAAATTTTGCTTTATTTTAATGGAATGAGAGCTATCTGCTAGTGATTCATACTACATGAAAAAGTAAAAGTGAGGTTAAGAAACAGACTGACTTGTTTTAAATTAAATAATGACAATAAATTATAGTCTAACAAATATGTAATATGCTTAGACAAGTAACTCATCTGTTTATTTTCTTATCAAATAACCTTTCTTAAATGGTAGCACATTCATTTTTAGATTGGAGAATGTGCTTAAATATTTAACATTTTAATATATCAGTCTTTATATGTTTAGTGTATGATATAATTTATATAGCATTACTTCATAACATTTTATATGTATTCATATATTTTAAATATTTATTCACACATTAGATTGCTTAATGAAAATCAAGAGTTTTTTTTTTTTAGATTTAAATGAGCAATAACCTCTGATTCTATAATCCAGAGTAGTAAAAGATAACACAAGATAATGATCTCTGTTTCCTGCATGGTGTATCTTTCACATTGCTGACAATAAAAATTCTTATTTCGCAGATCTGGACAAGGCCTAATAATGAGCTTGAAATAAGCTCCTATGTCATGGTCACCATCTACACACACAGAACAAGAACTGTGTTTCTGTCCCTTTCTTCACTACGTTACTTCTCTTTTTTCATGATTGATTCCTTCCTTGTTTGCATTTTCAGTTAGAAAACATTTAGTTCTTTATTAATTGAAAATAGATTATTCTCTCACACAATGCATTCTAATCAGAGTTTCTCCTTCCTCCACTCCTATCACCTGTTCACCCCCCTTCTTCCCCAGATCTACTTCCCCTCTTTTGTTTCCTCTTTGGAAAAAAAAACAGACCTCCAAGAGAGAATATACAAACATGACCAAACAAGATACAGTAAAATCCAAAACAAAGCAAAACCTCCACATTGAGGGTAAAAGGCAAGGCCATAGCAGGAAAAGAGTCTCAAGTGCAAGAAAAATTCAAAATGATACCTGCTACCTCTGTTAGGATTCCCATAAAACACTAAGCTAGCAGTTATATATGCAGAGTGCCTGGTGCAGACCCATGTAATCCTCATAATTGCTATTTGAGTCTCTGTGAATTTGTGGTCATCCATGTAATGTAAGGCATGGGTCTCCTCCCATGGTGTAGGCCTAAAGTTAAACCAACCATTGGTTGGGCCCTCTCACATCTTTTATTTCACCATGTTTTTACATGTCTTGCAGGCAAGACAGTATAATTGGTGGGTTTGGTAGCTGGGTTGGTGTCCAGATTGCTTTTTCTGTAATCTCTAGTGTATCTCGTGTCAAGGAGACTAGAACATAGGCATGAAAGCTCCAAGGCTGCACCTGTGCAACCTCTTGATATTCAGTGAGCTGTGTGGAAGTTATCTTGGGAATTGAGTCCATGCTGTCATTTTTCAGAGAGCAGCCTCTCCTAGCCTTAGTCTGGATCATTTAGGAATCTTTAGAAATCAGCCAACAACTTCATTTTACAAAACCAGGTACCACCATTACTAGTAGTCCTCACTAGGGTCACCCTCACCGATTCCTGGAATTTACCAGTGCACTAGGTTTCCACATTAACTCTTAATTGCCCCCCCCCTAATTCCATGTGC